GAACCTGCCAGCCTCAGTGTATATGTCTGGTGCCTTACTCACTGAGCTATGGGCACTGAGCCCAGTTTCTAGTCTTTCCTCTGGGCTTGCTCAGAGACTGAGCTTGCATGGCTTCTCAGTGGGTTTCTTGGTGTTTTAGAAGGAGCAGAAAGGTCAAATGAGGTTCTTTGGGCTTTCCATAGACTGAAATAGTCAGGGAACTTGACAACATGGCAATCTTGGGTGATTTTATAGACTCAAAAAATAAGTCAGTATTTTTATGCCGACTAGTGGAAAGAAGGAAATAGTGACAGTTAACTTCTTGAACAATCACAAACATTTTTTTCAAGTAGCATGATATGCCTAAGTACCATATTTACTTGTAGCCTCTTTTAATCCCAGCAAATATTTTACTGCTAGTTTGTGTGTGTGTGTTAGAGAATGAGTGTGTTGGAATGGTGGTGAGGAGAGAAATATTAATAATGGTTTACCCTGACCCAATGATTTCTTCAGGCATAGATACCAACAGCCTGATCCCTGTTCCCTCCCTCCAGCTTCTGATAGCACTTCTTTTAGCACCACTTCCTCATACTTCCTGCAGACAAGGCCAGTCATACTTCATCAGCTTAGAATCAGGCTACTAGGTATTGAAATTCTCTTGGGAGGAAAGGGACAATCCAACTATCTAGAAAAAATTGGGAAGATGGTCTACTTGATGGAGGGAGAAGGGATATGAGGTGTAATACATAATTTTCTCAGATTGACATTAAAACATTTACATTTCACAAGCATAAGTCTATACTGTGAAGGGAAGCAACCTGGAGGGCAATAGAAGCTGTTCCGCAGTGAACCATGGAGTGGATCTACTTACAGGTAACTGAATGTAGACTTGTTGGAGCTTTCCCTCACTAGACCTTTAGTGACCTGCTTGAAGGAGGCAGGATTGCTGGTTTTATTGGCCTTCTCCTTTTTCAAACCATTTTCAAAGTGGATGCCAATGAGTGGGCATAGAGTAGTATGGAGCAGAGCAGAGGGTTCTTGCAGCCTGATTTCCTAGAGCTGAGAAGGGACCCCCAGGTTGCAGGGCTGGATGAAATCTTACCCAAGGCTGTCCCTGGGCCTGCCCCTTTTTCCTGAAAGCCATACTCTTTAGCCTGAGCTCTGACCTCTCCACAACCCCCAGGATAGACCAGGGTGGCCAGATCCAGGGGGCTATCTTCCCTTCTTGGTGACATGCTGCCCAACAAGCTTAAGAGTCTAGGATGAGAAAAAGGAGCTACGGCAATTACAGTGATGTCAAAGGTCCCTCTGTGCCTCTCCCTTCTCTGGACCCTGCCTCTTTCTGTGTCCTCATGTGGCCAGAGTAAACTGCTACGGAAGTGGTTGAAAAAAAATCACCCACTCTACCATTTATCTCTGTTCCATAATAATCCCTTTGATAGCAGGTTCTGCTTTCTGCAGAAACATACACAACATCACCAAAAACAAACACACATCAGGGTGCTGCCAGGCAGAACCATAGCAATTCCTCACTGGGATGGACAGATGGGGAGACAGCCAACCACCATGCCCTGGAGCTCCCCTGAAGCCTGCAGGGTTCAGAGGCAGGCACTAGCCAGAACTCATATCTAAGCTTATCCTGAACTGCTCTCTTCAAGAACTTTTCCTCTAGTTCATGTCCTATCCTAACATCTGACCGAAAGCCTAGCATAAAATAGGTGGTTTTTCATTAGTTAATTTATTCAACAAATATATACTAAGTACCTATTAGGAGTTAGGTGCTAGGGATAAAGCACGAAAAAGACAAAGTCCTGTCCCCATGAAGGTTAAAAAGGGGAAAACAGGCAGTAAATGAATAACAGTTCAGTAAATGTTTGTAAAAACATAGAATCTTCTCTGGTTTTTTGGATGCAGTGTGGTGGCTTGGAGTTAGATAGTCCTGGGGTTCACACCCTATTCCATCTATAAGCTTCAGCCAAATGATTTATCCTTCTGAGGTTTAGTTTCCTTATCTGAGTAATCCAGCCTCTCAGATTTTGGACAGCAGTAGACACTCAATTAAAGCTAGTATTGATGGATGGTGCCTTCTCCCGGCCTCAAATTGTATCCTTCAGAGCCCCACCATAACACATTGCTGACCAGTCACAATTTATCCAGTAACATGGAGTTTCTGTGTAAAATTTCTGGTCAACATGTGTTAACATAGCAGCTGATTGGTTTTTCCCACTTTCAATTCCGAGCTGACTCGGAATTGTTGACCAGCAATTTTATGCAGAAACTATCCTTGTTACCAGGTAACTTGTGACCCATCAGCAGTGTGTTAGGCATTACCCTCCTGTACTCTTCCTCTTGCTTTCAGAGGTTTCTCTTTGTCAGTGGTGTGCTGGTAAGTGTTTAACCAGCTCTCTGAAAGAAAGAAAAGAAAAAAGCCCGGATTTCTAACATTCACTGATTTCCACAACATAAATATTCCCACTGTAGAACGTTTAAGCTACCAAGGTGATGTCATTGGATGCCAAGTCAGGAAGAGATGTTGCACAGTCAGCTCTTGGGCCAGTAAGAGCTGGTTTCAGCACACCATGACAGTCTCAGACCTTTTTTCAATACTTTGCACCATGTTATTTTGTTAATGTGCTTAGTTTTGCTTTGTATGATCTGAGTACTCTTATTCAACCAGAATCCCTCTGAGTGGGGTAGGTATATCTCTTCTTCCTACCAAGTACTTCCTCCTAACTGAAGACTGTTTTCCTGAAAACCCACCTGCTCTTCTGCTAGTCTTGGGCTTAAATATAAAGAGCACTATGGATCTATCCCCTGTGGGGTTCCATGCTAGAAAAGAAATAACTTTGCTGATCCCTTTGATTCCAGGAGAGGGAAGGAGAGGAAAGCTGTTGCCTTACCCTGTCCCTGCCCAGACATAGCTGCACCTCTGGGCTATTTTAAGCCATGTGTTTATCCTGAGGGGGCTGGGAGACAGATCTCCACAGCTGTTACTTGTGGCCAGGAAACACACAGGGCTCTGCCTCCCACCTGAACTGCTCGCAGTGTGCCCAGAAAGCTGCCCCACTGTGCCTCTTTTTTGAGCCTTGACTTGTGGGAAGCCTCTGATGCTTGCCATCTTGCACATGGAGATCTGTGGAGCTCTGTTTGGGAAACCTGAGACTCAGGGTGAATACGACCACCAGTGGAAGGACACTTAGCTGGGAGTCAGAAGACCTGCCACTTGCAGAGTCCCAAGCAGCTGAGGGTTGAATGAGCTCATGCACATGAAAATATGCTGTGATTATAAAGCCCTGGGGAAATGTAGGTTACTTCAGAGGCCTTAACCCTTTAGGACCCACTGTCCTGGGACACCCCACACCCCCAACACATGTTCAGCTCAACAAACATAGTCAAATTCTGTTGTTGGCCTACCCTGCCTCTGTGCTGGGGGAGATCACAGTGCTACATGGGGTGGAATGTGTGTGTGTGCATATTTGTGTGACCAAGGATGGCATGTGCCAGCATTCTTACATGTTCGAGAAAGGATCTACTTCCATAAGAGAGCCACTGGAATTGAGGATTCTCCTGGCCTGTTTGCCTGTGTCTATATTAATCTGTGCTCAGCTGCTCCCTTAATCCTAGATGTGAGTGAGATTGGTTGGGTAGACCTGGGCAAAGGGGAAGTTAAGGGGCTACTACTCATCTCAGGAACTAGGACACATTTTCCCTTAAGTTCTCATAGAAATCAGAAAGTACTTGAGCAGGAAGGGACCTTAGGAATCAACTAATATAGTTTCTTCATGTAATAAATGGTAAAAGTGAGGCCAATATGAAAATCACTTGCCAAGCTTAAAATAGCAAGTCCATATTGCCACCCAGGGCTCCTTTTCCCTCTGGAAGGCATCATGCCTCCATTCTTCCTGAAACTTCTCTTACTGTGGCACCCTCTGCCTGTGGGCATTGCTGGAGACTTCATGAAGGAAACCTGGGCCTCAAGGAGGAAACGTGACCCCACATATTCCCTTTTTATTCTTAGCTTAGGAATTTAGCAGGGTTTTTCACTATCAGAAAAGGGAAGGTCGAGGAGAAAGACCACTCGATCTTACTCCTGGAGATACCATAACTTGGCAAGACAGAAGGACCTGTGCAAAGCCCCCTCCTTAGAGCATCTATACCTTTTCTCTGGGCCCCAGCTCCTCAAGGCTGTGGCTCAGGGTGTCGGAACAGCTCTTCTGTCCATAAGCTCCTGGCCTGTGCTATCTGTGCTGTAACTTATCTGTTTCCCTAGGTGTGGCTCTGGACACCTTCTAAGCTCTTAAGGAGACTCAGAAAAGATTCAAAAAGGAAAAAAACTGCTTCTCATTCAGTCTTGGGAAAGGATGGATCTGTCCTGTTTTACAGTTTTCTCCAGAAGGACGCTCTAAAGAAAGGACTAGTCTGAGGCTACAGTGAGCTATGATCACACTACTTGCATTCCAGCCTTAGTAGTGACAGAGCAAGAACCTGTCTCTTGAGAGAAGGGGAGGGGAAGGAGGGCAGGCAAGCTAGAGACATAGGATAGAGGAGAAACCACCACTCTAAGCAGAGGGAAAAGGGAAGGAGTGCTTTGGGGACATATTTATTATAAATGTTCCTGTTTCATCCTCTGTCCTCATCAACTTCCCTGGGACGAAGCCTCTACCTAGACAGGCAGGTGACTGTTCCAATACCAGGAGGCCTGACAGTTTCATTCTCTGGGCTCTTGCCTCCAAGGAGCTCCTCCTCCCTCCCCCTGAGTAGAAAGTCCTAGGTATCACCCCAAGAAGCCCCTAGGAGTTTGCTGCTGAGTCCCTGCAGCTCTGCCATGCCCGCAGGTATACCCTCAGTGCTGCAGCCTTGCGCTCACCCTGACCCTAGGTACCACCCTGGATTTCCACAGCCTGCCGCAGCCTATGCTTTTCTAGGGAAGGGTACGAGGTCCACACTCAAGGCTCACCCTGTGACGATTTCAAAGGGCGGCAGCTCAATCAGCTCCTTCAGCTTCTCAGGGTCATCCAGGTTCTCCAGGTCTTCCCCATTCTGGGAGGCAGGCGCGGCGGCTGCAGTGTCCTCTTCCTTCTGGGCCATGAGGGGCTGTGGCTCCAGAGTCGCTGAGAGGAGAGATGGCAGTTCTGCGCCAGGCCCAGGCGGCAGAGTCCCAAGCAGCTGTCAGCAGCTAAATCTGTCTGGGAATGACGGGAGAGACCTAGCAGGCAGGCTGTGTGTTCTCCCCACCTCTCTACAGGCTTTATAACCAAGGCTTGCTGCCCCTCCCCCGGGTCTTCTCCTTCTATCTTTTTTTAATTGAGTGACGGCGTGTGCTGGGCTGGGGGAATGGAAAATCTAGCCATTAGTATCCCCAATTTATCAGTAGGCAAGGACAGGAAGCTGGCAGGTGGGGATAGCTTGGCCTGCTCTTTCTCCTCCTCCCTCTTCTCTCACCTTACAGTCTATCCTTTATTTCCCACCTAACCATCCTAGCTCCATTGGGAGAGAGTATGGGAGGGGTGCTGGGAGGGAAGCCTGAGATTTAGGAGAGAAGCTCTCTCAGAGTTTTAAGCAGGATGAGAAAACTGTGTTGAAGAGGGTAATTGCAAAGAGACCATTTCCATTGGAGGAACTTTGGTTCAGGAAAGGAGGGTCCTGGCTGAATACAGTAGGTTGTGCCTGTAATTCCAGAACTTTGGGAGGCCAATGTGGGAGAGTCACTTGAGGCAAGGTATTCAATACCAGCTTGAGCAATATAGCAAGACCCTGTCTCTACAAAAATAAAAAATAAAAAACATGCCCACTGTGGTAGTGCATGCCTGTGGTCCCAGCTACTTAGGAAGCTGAGACTGGAGGACTGCTTGAGCCCAGGACTTAGAGGTTACAGACAACTATGGTCACACCTCTGCACTCCAGCCTGGGTAACAGAGTAAAACTCTGTCTTTATAAATGAATGAATGAATGAATAAAAAGAAAGAATAAAGAAAAAGGAAAGAAGGAAGAGAAGAGAAGGGGAAAAAGAAAAAATAAGGAAAGAGAGTCCCAAGGGGAGGTGGCATAAAAACTGACAATTTAGGAAGAAAGTATTTGAGTTGTGACTCAAAGGGAGTAGATGTGGATTTGCCTGTTAGGAACCTGTAATACAAAGTCAGATTGCCTAGGGACCTTCACTACTAACAAAGCTGCCATTTACTAAGCCTTGGACCAGGCAGTGAGTTTAATAGTTTACAGACCTATGCTTTCCACAGCCCTCTGAAGCAGTGTGTATTACCCTCAATGTGTATTTCCCATTTATCACCAGGGAAAACAGTCTCACAGAAGGCAAAAGGGCCTTGTCTAAGGTCATACAGCTCGTAAACGACAGAGCCCAGATTAAAATACAGCCCGTTTTACTCCAGAAGCCAAATATTCAACTTCCATGCTATGCACCCTCATGGTCTTTTATTTATTTAACAAATATTTATTGAGTGTCTACTCTATGCCAGGTTCTATTTCAGGTACTGGGAATATGGCAAAGAACATAGTGAATGAAAATCTCTGCCCTTAGGCTGGGCATAGTAGCTCACGTCTATAATCCTAGCACTCTGGAATGCCAAGGCAGGAGGATCACTTGAGGTCAGGAGTTCAATACCAGCCTGAGCAAGAGTGAGACCCCATCTCTACTAAAAATAGAAAAATTAGTTGGGTCTTGTGGTGGGCACCTGTACAGATGGGCACCTACTGTACTGGGGAGGCTGAGGCAGGAGGATTGCCTGAACCCAACAGTTTGAGGTTGGTGTGAGCTAGGTTGAACTCATAGCACTCTAGCCTGGGTGAAAGAGTAAGACTCTGTTTCAAAGGGCAGCGCCTATGGCTCAAAGAATTAGGGTGCTGGCCCCATGTGCCAGAGGTGGTGGGTTCCAACCCAGCCCTGGCCAAAACCACACACACACACAAAAAGACTCTGCTTCAAAAAAGAAAAGCCCTTCCCTCATAGAGCTTGAAAGAGTTGGATGATGAAAAGATAAAAAAGATAAGTAAAGTATACGCTCCATTTGGTAAGTGCTAGGGAGAGAAGGCAGGGAAGGGGAACAGGAAGTGTCAAGGGGTGGGTTATATTTTTACAGGGTAGCCAGAGGACTTAGAAAGGAGACCTTTGAGAAAATACCTAAAGGAAGCAAGGGCACTAATCATATAGGTATCTGATAGGAAAGTGTTCCAGGGTGGGGTTGACAGCATGTGCAAAGGGCCTGAGATGGGGGCATTCTCGGTGTGTTTGCAGTACTAGCAAGGACTCCTGGGTGGCTGGAGAATTCTAGGAGATGAAGCCAGAGAGATAACAAGCCCTAAGTAGGCTGAGGCTTTGTGATTGTTTTAAGGACCTTGGCTTTTTCTCTGAGTTGGGAAGCCACTGTCTCTGAGTAGATGAAACACATGGTCTGACTTATGTTTTTACAAGAGCACCTGGGGCAAAGCAGAAGCAGGAGACCTGAAGGGAGTCTTTGGAAGCTAGAGAAAGATGACTGGGGCCCCTAGAAAAGCTGTAGGGCCAGAACAGTGGCAGAGAATCACTGGATGATTTTTGCAGCTCACACAATGAGTACTCATCAAGGGTTACAAGTCTTCATGTTTGAGGCAGTGCAAACACTCTAGGACACTTTCAGACAAATGGAAAGAAGGGGTCAGGGTTGAAAATGAGGAACCTAAGGACATTGGGGAACAAATGGGGTTGGATGGTGGGGACAAGAAGGTAGGGTCCCCTTTCGAAGGTCTCACTAGAGGAGTCAGGATGGTTTGGAGAATTTAGGGCTTCCTCCTCCAGAGAGTCTGAGCAGTAGAAGGCTCTGTTTACAATACACAGCAGTTTGGTTTGCCTGGATGATCATGGTTTTTCCCTGTTGTCCAGGAATAATTATTACTAGCAGATCTTTCACGCCCAAAAGTGTCCCCATGTGGAGAACCAATTATATGATCATCTTATCTATTAGATTTATTACTAAAAGCATTTCTGTCTAGAAATTATTGTTTTATTTATTTATTTTTTGCAGTTTTTGGCTGGGGCTGGGTTTGAACCCACCACCTCTGGCATATGGGATCAGCGCCCTACTCCTTTGAGCCACAGGCGCTGCCCCTAGAAATTATTTTTTCAGACATTTCTTCCTGGGGAATAAAACACAGGGGAGAGGTAATACTGTCTGTGTAACAAAAAAGCAATGATAGCTAGTAGCTGATAGAATATTATCATCACACAAACATACAACATTTCAATGCAAAGAGTTTATGTCATTCTCTTATTTAATCAACATTTATCAGATATTTTTATGTGCTGGGTGCAATAGTAAATACCGAGACTATAGAGATTAATAAAGTACTGCCTCACCAAGAGCTCACAGTCTTTATCACGTTTAGGGCGTTAATCAGACACTCAAGCCTACATTCTCATTTAGTCTTCACACCAGTTCCATATGGGTGTGAATTACTGGCCTCCTTTTGCAAGTTAGGGATCTAAGGCTTAGAAAGATGAAGTGAATTATATAAGATCACAGGAGTTCAGATCTTCTGAGCCTCTGTTCAGTCTTATTTTCAGGGTTGAACCTACATACCTCTGATTAAACCTCTCTGGTGCACAATAAACAAGTATTCCTCTCCCTCTTCCTAAGACCAGCTAGCAAGGGTCTTCAAACTTTTTAAACAGGGGGCCAGTTCACTATCCCTCAGACTATTGGAAGGCCGGACTCCCGGGAAAGTTGGCTACTAAGCAGGACAGGCAGCGGCAGCAAAAACACCTGGCAGGCCAAATAAATGTCCTAGGTGGGCTGCAAGTGGGGACGCCTGAGCTACAGTGATGTACTTGGATCAAATGAAGAAGTGTCGATTGCCTTGGGGAGAAGAGTGAGAAGGATGGATCCTTGCACATTGAGAAAGCCTTCCTCCTAAGGACAAGTTCTTATATTTTGGCTTTCATGTATAGCCCTGGAGGCAAAAAAACATTCCATGTTCATATCCCCATCTCAGTGCCTGATTCACTGTGTGATCTTGGCCAAATCACTTAACATCTCTGGGCCTCACTTTCCCCATCTGTGACACAGGGTGTGCATTGGTCTCTATTCCCAGATGGCCAAAGAAATGAAAATGAGGGAGCAGACTGGGCCTGTGAAGACCACAGAGTACCGGTGAGGTGAACGGTATGGTGAGAATTTCCTGCCTCTCACAAAGAGTGGAGTTCTGAATAGATGGTATACGGAGGTCCCAGCCTGGCCCTTCCTGAAGAGGTGACCTCGTGCTCCTAACACACTCATAGACAGTTTTCCCTTTGACCTTTGGGAGAAAGTCCTGGGCCCACCACCAGACTGATGACTGACAGCTTCCTTTTTTCATTGCTCCTTCTGAGCCTTCCCCAAGCCTGCCATCCCCGGAGGCCCTCTGGCCTGCTCTGGCTATTTATGGCACCTCCTGGAATTCCTGGCTGGTCCCTGCTCTCCTTTCCAAGTCAGACCAGCTTCCCCTGCTGGCCCCAGAGTACAGCAGCTAATCTGGGAGGTCAGGTGCCAGAAGCCTGACTCCTCCCCCTGCAGCTGCCTCTAAACTCTTTTTAGCGCCAGCATACTCCATCCCTCCCACCCCAATTATAGGCCCCTCCTGCACAGGAGGAAAATGGGCAGCAAGGTATTTTGTTGCGGGTTGCACAAGGAGCCAGTGGGGTGCTAGGTTTTGAACCCAGATATGTCACCCTCAAGTTCCATGCTTTTGCAGGTATGTTCTGCTGCCTGGAATTCAGTAACAAGGAGAGCTGACATTAACACAGCCTCTGCTGCCAGCTTGACATTGCCCTAAGCATGTCATATAAATTAATTTATTTATTCCTCATAAGGATTTTGGAACAGGAACTATTATTCTCATTTTATAGGTTAGGAAATCAGGACCAGAGAGGTTAAGTGTCTTGCCCAAAGTGATGCAGCTAGTAGGATAGAGCCATTTGCTTCCAGAGTCATCCTCGTATGCCCTTCACCATTCAGTTCCGGCTGCTGCCAGGACCCCTGAGGCCAGGCGGTGGGGAAGGAGGGGAAAGACAGTGTGTGGTCCACCAGAGGGGTGTGTGTTGGAGCACAAGCATAGATACACCAGGCAGCTGGTGAGTGGGGATGGAAACTGAAAACAGCATTCTTCCAGGCTGTCTCTGTAGTCCCTGCCCTCTCGGGGTGGCAGTGGCTGAAACGAGCTCAGTTAGGCCTAGGATACACCTGCCTCTCCCT